CGCTCTTGAGCGAACTCTGTTTCGAACTATGTGTGTTAGCAAAAACCGTGTTTGTGCTTCTTACATAAATCCCAATAACTCTTCATAAATAAACTGGTAGCATTAAGCAGCGGCTAATCAGAGACAAGCAAAAACGATTGCAAAATATAATTGCAATACTGTTCAATCATCTCAAGAGAGAAGCCGACTTATGGCATGGTAAGGTGACGTGTAGTAATGCGGCTGGCCTTTAGACCGTGCATATATCCCGAGCTCCTTGTTGATAATTCAACTTGACTTCTGATTTTCCCACTCGAAGAGCTCCCTTCAAATCTTGGACTTTTCAAAGATAAGCGGTTGATATCAATCAATCAATCAGTGAGTCCTATGATCTATAACTCTTTTTTTTTATTAGGAATGCAAAACGACAGTGATCTTGGTGAACGAAGCGAAGAGGCAAGCAAAGTCGGAAGAATACTCATCTGCTATTGAGCCGCAAGAATGTTTTCTCACCCCGAAAATTCTACTGACCAGTAAGTAAGGTATGTAGTTTTAAAAACATGTTTATTATTGGCCAAGTAGCCAGAACTCCCACTTCTGAACAATTTTTTGCCTTATGTCTAAAAAATACATAGTAGTCATACCTCAGTAAACTTTGAAATTCAATCAAAAAAAGTCCATAAGGTAACTAGGTCTGTAAGGTATTTGTCGGTGAAAAGTAGTTTGTCAGAGACCGAATACCATGCTGTGAAGGTCGTTGCTGTGCTCGTGAGGGTTTGCGGTTCGTGCGCAAGAGGTCTTTTTGGCCAAAAATACGTTGCCGCGTTGCCGAATTTAGATCAAAGAGAGAATTTTGGCGGTAATGCCCGCCTCTGCGCCGGTCAATTTAGGCATAGTAGTCGCGGTCGCGGTGACCAGGCTCCTCGGCTGCCGCCCGCCACTTGTCCACCTGTCGCCAGAAAAGCGTAACACCACTCAAACTTCCCCCTCAAAAACCCAAAATCCAAAGTTCAAAAAAAAAAAAGGTGCGCCACAAAGACACACCCAAAATTGGAAGCCAGCTAACATTTCCACTAATTTATTCACCACTTATTTGTGTCTTTGTTTTCTCTTCTTTTTATAAGGTTTACTTCGTGTTTTTTCTTTTCTCTGCTTTGAATCTTCAAGATAAAAATTTACCAGATTTTCACTTAAACTGGAGTAATCAAATATAATCGAGTTCTCTTTTTCAGTTTGAAAATTCAAATTCTCCCAACGAGAGCCGCTAATCTTCAACCTCAAAACATTCTTCATCCGAGACCCCAATTTTTCGCTCTACAAAGTCGGCAGTGATTGATCTGTTTTGATAAACAACGGTCAATTTGCTTTTTTATATCACACCAGTCAAAAATTTCTAGGAGCTGTTGATCATGAGTTCCAACAAGCAAGGAAAACGTAGCTCCAAATCCAAGAGCTCTCAGAACCAATCTGAGGACCAAAAAATTGATCCGAATCAAGTCCAAAATCAAATGTACCTCCCTCCACCATCCGCTGCTGGACAACAAGGACAACTACAACAGGGACAACAGGGACAACAACAACCACAAGGAGGTCAGCAACAACAGTCGCAACAACAAAATTCTTTGACTGGGTTACCTAATGCTGCTGGTAACAATCAATACTTCCCAATGCAACAAGTTCCTCAACAATATTCAAACAATTTCTTACCACCACCAAATCCTATGAGCATGCAACAACCTTATTACATTCCATACTTCCCTAATCCTTATTATAATGGAAGTCCTCAGCAGCAACAATTATCGCAGCAAAGATTCTCCGCCCCAAATCAAGGTAACGGTAACGGTAATACTAGCCATGCCAACAGTAACAACAGCAGTAACAATGCTGCTCAAGCTGCCGCTGCTGCTGCTGCCGCTGCTGCTGCTACTGCTGCTGTTGCCAACGGTGCTAACATCAAGTTACCAATCTTGCAGCCAACAAACAGTTTCTATAAACATCAACAAGGTCAACCGGGTCCAAACCAGCATCAACAGCCATCTCAAGGTGATTTTGCTGCGTTACAAAACATGCCTCAAAATGGCAACTTCATGGATGCAGCATCTGGTGGTTCATCAAAGTCTCCTGGTCCAGTTTCATTTGAAAGTGGTATGCAAGTTTTAAAGCCTAATCCATACCATGGTGGTGCTGTTGCCTCTAACTATAGAAGAGCAATCCAGCCCTCTGACCCAGAGAATGATTCGAAACCTTACAGATGCAGTCATTGTGATTGGGCATTTGTTAGACATTCTGATCTACGTCGTCATTCTCGTTCCCATGGTAATCCAGAATATCACTGTCCATATTGGCACCCAGAATACGCTACCTGCCCTCACAGAAATCAAGGTTCTTTCAACAGACTGGATGTTTTGAAAAGACATTTACGTTTGGTTCATTTTGATCCTGAAGCTCAAGAAGATTCAGCTGATAGTTTGGTCAGAAGACAAGATGCAGGAACTTGTTTATCATGTTCGAAATATTTCGTCAACAGTAAATCCTTCATTGATCACGTTGATGATTGTGCTTTACATACTCCAATGGAACAATGGAGATACAAGAAGAACGGTATCGTCACTAATGTCAAGAAAGAAGGTAGTGACGAATTTAGTACTGTTGAAGAAGGTATGGATGTTTCTGGTTCTACTTTCCAAGGAATGGAAATTAAAAAAGAATCTAGAAAAACTTTACTAGAAAGTGAAGATAAATTGAAGCGTTCTGCAACCTCTGCTGGTCTAGGTGATGCTTCATCAAATACATCTGTGTCTTCAAATAATGCAGATGGAGGGGATTCAAATGTTCCTTATTTGAAACGTCCAAGAGGAAGACCTAGAAAATATGTTACAGGTGGCATGAACTAATTGGAAGTGATAAATCAAGATCTTCCCATATTACTCCCTGTTGCCTCGAGGAAAGAATTAAGAGGATTGAAAAACTCATCTTTCTAATTCGTTTCTTTGTTTTGCCTTTTTTGTTCTGCTAATGGACGTAATGAAAACTCTATTCCTTATTTTTGCTTTCCTCTGTTCTTTTGAAGTTTTCTTTGTCAAATACTTTCATGATTGGGACTAGAGGTGTATGCTAAATTGTCCTTTTAAAAAAAACACTTGTTTCAAGTGAAACTGTATATTAGGTATTTACCTCCTTGGAATTTTTTACCTTGCTGTGTTTTTCTTCGTAATTTCCTCTTTGCTTTTCTGTCTATTATATTTTTTAACACGACTCCGTCAGGCCCCTTATATGTGTGCTATTTTGTTCAATTTGTTGAGAGTGAGTGACATTTTATGTTTCTTTCCTTTTCTCATTTTGACTAGTGTGTATTTTTATTTATCTTGATGTTTAAAATGTTAGTGTTCTTGTTTTATCATTCTATATGATGGTAAATGGTAGGTAAGATATATTGCTTGAATTTCCCCATGTGGGAACTCTGTATATCCGAATCGGGAAGTTCAGTCGAGGCCGCTCTGCCATTCCCATGTAAAACGGTCAGAGCCTCGGAGGCAGCGAAAAATACCCCTGTTGTGGTTTCTCCAGTTGGGGGCCGACTTAGATTGTGCATCTGGTCGACGTGGTGCCCCCGAGCCCTACACCCATTTTTACCAGCAGGAAATTCTGTCCCTGGCAGGCTGGCTGGCTCAACAACTAGTAGAACGCGCGCGAGTTTGCGACGCGTGAAGTGAGCCAGCCAGTGAGCCAGCCAGTGAGCCAGTCTGACTCTCACCCTTATATTATTACCGTTTTGGGTCATGAGGCAAGCAGAGTGTGACGGTTGAGATTTTTTTTTAGATTTGGTCTTCAGCACAGATTAGATCTCTCTCTCTCCATATATCAGTTCAAAGGTCTTTCAAATTCAAAACTTGTCATTGAGCTGGAACGAACAATTGACACTATGAGGGGTATGTTCTCTACTAAAATTTGAGCCATTCAAAATCACTTTAAACTAACATAAAAACGGATCAATCTAAATTTGATCTTCATTTATTTATAGATTATAAACTTGTTGTACTAGGTGCTGGTGGTGTGGGTAAGTCATCATTGACTGTCCAGTTTGTGCAAGGTATTTATATCGAGAGTTATGATCCAACAATCGAGGATTCATACACCAAGGAAATAGAAGTGGATGGACGTGCATGTAATTTGGAAATTCTTGATACTGCAGGTATAGCTCAATTTACTGCAATGAGAGAACTATATATCAAATCCGGTCAAGGGTTTTTGTTAGTGTACTCTGTTACGGATAAAAACTCTTTAGAAGAATTACTGGCTATTAGAGAGCAAGTCTTAAGAATCAAAGACTCAGCTAACGTTCCTATGGTATTAATCGGTAATAAATGTGATCTAACAAACGAGAGAGAGTTGACCCCTGATGATGGTATACAAGTGTCGAAGAATTGGAACAAAGTTCCTTTCTATGAAACTTCAGCAATGTATAAAATGAACGTGGAAGATGCATTTATTGACGTTGTTAGACAAATAATCAGAAAGGAAGCACTTGCGTCCCAGCCCAGCACTCCAGCAGTTAAGACTGGTTCTGTATCTGCATCAAACGGTGCTAACTCAGATGCAGCTGGATCCAATACACAGAACTATAACCAAGCTACAGGGTCAAATGGTAAATCAACGGCAGGACCCAAAGAGTCACCGAAAACAAATGGAGGCTTGACGGGTAAAAAATCCAACCCTAAAAAGAAAAAGAGAAAATGTGTCATTTTGTAGTCACCCATTCATATCTTATTTTTATTTTACGCTAAATGGTGAAAACTATCACTCAATTGCAAGTTTCACTATTTTCGTTTTTGTTATTCTCCTCCTCTGCTGCTTTTTATTGTTTTTCTTCACTGTGTATCATATAAATACCCTCAATTTAATGGACTCTCGAAATACTACCGAATCTTACGTTATCTATCCCATTATGTATCGAATAACTTTATGAGAATGTTACAAATAGTAAAGGAATAATTAAAAAAGAAAAACAAAAAAAAAACGTTTGACAGCCGTGGGGTTCGAACCCACGCCTCCGAAGAGATCAGGACCTTAACCTGACGCCTTAGACCACTCGGCCAGACTGCCAACAACAGTCGTATCCTTAACTTTTCATGCGCGCCAATATGTGTTCCGAAAAATATTATCTACCGTTGGTGAAAAAAGTGATCATTTTTCCAGATTTGAGAAGAGTTTGAAATTTAAGTAAGGGTTTTCTTAACCCCTAAACGTTCTTTTGACATCAAATTCCTGAATGTTTAGACACCAAAATGTTTTAAAGCAGAGCTTGCCTACCATTTCCTTTTTTATTAGGACCTCAAAAGCTGATAATCAATGCATGTGTGATTGAACAAGAATTAAAATTAAAGAACTTTGTAATAATTCTAACAATGAGTTTGTTTTTTGAGACCGATTATGATAAGTATATTCTCGATGAGGTCAGGTCAACCTTCGCCCATTTGATAGAACAACTATCCCAATAATGACTATGTTTGCCATATATTGAAATAATCTAACAAAGATCAAACTCTCCAAACGATTTATCTTTTGTTGATAGAACTCAGTGAGCTGTATAATTATATAGTCTATTTAGTTACTATCAAGATGATTGTCATATTAGATGAAGGACGGTAACTTCAATAGTAGTGATAGTATACAGTTATTATTATGATCTTGGTACCGAGAAATGAAAAGGTAGATAGAGGATCACAGGTATCCTTACCCATTTTGCGAAAAAAAAAAAAAAAAGTATCATTCTCATTACTATAACAACTCAAGTAATAGATGGAGTACTTGAATCTACACAGCTTGGTTGGTGCCACTTCATTTCATCATAATCAAGTACTTCACTGGACTAACTGACCAGTTGAAAGAGGGTAGGTCAATCTTCTTCGAAAATCTATCATTAATCATCGACTAGTCATCGTTTGTGCTGGAATCGAACGGTGAGTGTTGAATCAATACACTGCTATTCATCAATCTTTGTTTCAAATGATTGCTTGAAATGAATGTTGTCTACCAAAACTACGCAGCAGTCATATAAAGGGGGTTTTAAGATATTATAGTTGTTTCTGTGGCTTAACTAATTAAATTTTTGACTAAGAAAGCGGTTCTAATTTATTGTTAATGCCTGAAGGGTAAGTATGATGCAGGAGTACATCTTACTTGAGTTTGGTGTGCAATTACAGCCTGAAGTATGATTCTTGAAATAGCTGTCCTGAGTATGGTGAGTCACCAGAGCACTCTCTACTTATTTTTTTTGGTCTGGATTCTTGATCTTCTCAGGAATAGTAACTTGAACTCAAGGCTTAAATATGATCTGGCCATCAAACATGTTGCACCAAAGTTTCTTATGAAAGTGAATACATCTATATCTCACCCCGTTGCAAATTGAGTTTTACCCAACTGCAATTTAAGTACTCCCAAGCTTTCCATTTTGACTAATAGTAGCCTAAGTATTGTCAGAATATCTCTCAGATGCCGAGAAACAAATCGTTTAATGCTTCCACCAAACCACTCTAGTATGTGGTATCGATAAAAGGTATGGGCCATCGATCTATCAGAATTGAGGCATATTTTCAACAAAAACCATTATATTATATGTTCATAAACGGTTTAGTTGTTTGCTCTAATAATGCAAATCAAAAGCACGTATCTATATACTACATGTAATCTAGACTTGCCGTCGGTCAATGCTTCCTCATAAGAATGGTCTATTATCACGATTTACCTCCTTATATGATCATATACGTTGACCTTCAGCTAATAGTATTACTTGTACAGAGCTTAGGGCTAATTTTCATTTGTGTTGGGAAATATATGAAATTCACATGACTCATTGAGCTCTTCAAATGAAAAGAATGAGGAGAGGCACTGTGACGACGATATTTACTTTCCAGGGATCATCAATCTATATATTCCCTAAGATTCAAAAACGTTTTTCAATCAGTTATTTCTCAAGTTTCTACTGAAGAGATGATCCGAAAAAATAAGAGTTCTTGCGGATACCCCAGATCATGCCAAATTTACTGCTATTCATACACCCGTTTATAGGGGTGCTCCCACCCCACGCTGCAAACCCTATTTTCTCAGTTTATTTTATCAATCAAGATTTAAGAGGCCTACTTTCCAATTCAATTTGAAGGCACGGTAGCTCCTCTGTTTGTTAGAAATATATGTATAGTTATATACATAGTTATATACATAAAGACATATCTGAAGCTGAAACTAACACAAATCCTGAGAGCTTTGCTCGATCACTCTGGAAGCACCGGCCGTGATTTGCGCTTGCATTGAGGTGAATTGAAAATTCACTGCAACGAAGTAGATAGCTCTCTTTGCTGTGAAATAAAGGCACTCATCCACCTCCGCATGACTGACTGTACTACAGAGATATCCATGAAATCTGTGATTAGCCCACCCACCAAAGCATATGATCAGTGGCTTGATCTTCGGCCTCGGCCTCGACCACGACTTCCTACAATGATTACAGCGCTAAAAGAGGGGCGCGCCCATGGGGTGAGCACTGAGCAGGGTTCCCCCACATCCGGAAACACATTGAATGCGGAACTACAATATAACGAGTCTCGGTAACTGGAGTGATGAAAGTCATTCGATTTTTGTAACCGCACCTGATTAATAAGACTACAAGAGTGGAAATCAATGACTTGAGTGATTGATCAGCGGGGAGATCATGAAACAAAGCGATAAGGGTCATTTTCTTGAGTTACGCAATTAGTATATAACTACCGGACGTTTCGCTTTTAGTGCTTTGTGACCATCAACACCTCCGCATTATTGTTTTCTTACCAGCTAGCCCGGTTCAATCACACGTATATATAATCCCATTCAAAAAAAAAACTAATCCTCGAAAATAATTATAATCTTTCACGATGAACAAGCTAAAACTAACTATGAAAGCATTAACATTTTTAGGTGCAAACACAATTAAGTATCAAGAGGTTGCTAAACCTATTATCAAGAAGCCAACTGATGTAGTTGGTAAGATCTTATGGACTACCATTTGTGGTTCAGACTTACATATCCTCAAAGGTGATGTTCCGGAATCAATCGCAAAGGCCAATGAACAAAAGGGTAGAGGTTTGATTTTAGGGCATGAAGGTGTTATCAAGGTTGAATCTGTTGGTTCTGCTGTCACAAAATTCAAACAGGGTGATGTTGCAATTGTTTCATGTATCAGCTCTTGTGGTTCATGTTATTACTGTAAAAAAGATTTACAATCTCATTGTTCGAATACTGAAGGTACTTCTGGTTGGATTTTAGGTCATGAAATTGATGGTACTCAAGCTGATTACGTTCGTATTCCTTATGCTGATAACTCATTGTACAAGGCTCCAGAAAATGTTCCTGCCGAATCTCTTTTGATGTTGAGTGATATCTTACCAACTGCTTATGAAGTTGGTGTTTTATCCGGTAAAGTCAAAGAAGGTGATACCGTTGCTATTGTTGGTCTTGGACCTGTCGGATTATCTGCACTATTGACATGTAAAACTTTGAAACCAGCTAAAATTATTGCAATTGATATGGATGATGCAAGATTAGAAGTTGCTTTGAGATTGGGTGCTGATGAAGCAATGAATCCAGGTAAAGTTGATGCAAAAGCTCAAGTTCATGCTTTAACTAAATCCGATATCAGAGAATCTGGTGTTGATGTTGCAATTGAATGTGTCGGTATTCCTGCGACTTTTGAAATGTGTCAAGATTTGATTGGCCCTGGTGGTGCAATTGCAAATGTTGGTGTTCATGGTAAATCTGTTTCATTGAAGCTTGAAGAATTATGGATCAAGAATATATCCATTAGTACTGGTTTGGTTTCTGCTTATTCAACATCTGATCTTTTGCAAAAAGTTGTTAGCGGTGATTTAGATCCTTCTGTCTTAGCTACTCACCATTTCAAGATGAGTGAGATGGAAAAGGCATATGAAGTTTTCAAAAACGCTGCTAGCAACAAAGCTATCAAGATGGTCATCGAAAACGACAATTGATTAGTTTCTTTAAGTATTTCTGTACGCTTAGGTCTATATTTGTGCCTTTTTTTATAGTGTTCAATTAATTTTGATGATTATCAGTTCGACAGAGTAAAACACTCGTTATGAGATTTCATCCTGAAGTCACAGCCACACACCACCATTTTTATATTTCTTTGAACATCAAGAACAATTAGTTGAGTTATTGGCGCAATAAAGTTTTTATTTGAAGCTAATCAAAGGGAGAAGACGAAATAATTTTATTAGTCAAGAATTAATAGTAAAAGAAGAACGGAAAATGTAGAAATAAAAAGCACTAAGAAGAAGTGATCTCAAAGCCAGACATATCGTTAATGACCATACCTGCAATACAAGCAGAAACTAAGGTAGCAATACAACCAGTAATTAAAGCAGAAACAACCATCTCTGAAATTTGCTTCGACTTAGCTGGAGCTAGAGTCTTCATAACACCAATTTGAGTACCAACAGAACCTAAGTTAGCGAAACCACATAAAGCAAATGTTGCAATCAATGAACCTCTTGGGGTCATGCCATCAGCTTCAGCAACTAAAGTAGAGAAACCAACATATTCGTTTTGGATGACCTTGATACCGATTAATCTTGAAACAGTTAATAAATCTGATTTTGGAACACCTAATAACCATGCGACAGGGTAGAAAATGTAACCAAAGATCAAAGTTAATGATAGATCATGAATGTTCCAGAACTTACCGAAGTAGTACAATAAACCATTAACTAAAGCAACCAATGCAATAATACACAAACAGTTGGTTAGAATCATCAAAGCGATTTGTAGACCTAAAGCTGCACCATTAGAGAAAGCTTCGATAACATTTGAGGCCTTCTTGGAATTTTTACTTAAGTCTTCAGTTGTCATGACTCTTCCGTGAGAAAGAGATCTTTCAGTTTCTGGGACTCTCATCTTGGATAAAGCAAGCGAACATGGAATGGACATCATACAAGATGAAACCAAAGATTGGGGGTTCAAACCTAATGAGATATATGAAGCTAAAACAGAACCTGAAATGGTAGCAAAACCAGCACACATAATCTCATGTAATTCTGATCTGGTGACGAATG